CGTCTGGATGTGGGGAAAAGGCCAGTAGGGTTCCGTGACCATGGGTGTAGCCGGAGGTAGGGTTTCTGGCCGTTTTCAGATTGTTGGGCAGTGAACTTTGAGCATTAATTCCGGTTGAAATACTTGATGGAATTGGATGATGTTTGTTGGTAGTCGAAGGGTATGTTTGGGGCTGTCGACCGGTATCCAATTCCGGCGGTTTTAAAGGCCGGGAGTTGCCGGAAGTTTGGTTCATTTTTGGGTGATCCTAGAGATAAGGGAGAGCATTTGGAATTTGAAATTTGACTGGCATATACTTTAGCGTGGGTTGGAGTCTTAGTTTAGTTTAGGACGTTAATATTACTTGATCAAAATGTTTAATTAGATTAAAAGGTATTACTCAAAATACTAAAATTAGTAGGGTACACAGCTTAATTTTCCCAAAATTAATTAGTGGCCCCATACTAATGTGAGTGGACTGTAAAATTTACAACCCACTAATGACTGTATATATAGCATTATTCTTTCAAGGAATCCTGCGACACGCGTGGCAAGGACAGGCGTCAAAGTTAACCGAAATTAAAGGAGAATCTCACACCGTCAAATATTTTTTCGCAACCAATCCAACAGCTACAATCCATTCGAACATTCTCGAACCCGAGAACCATTTCAATGGCAGACTCAGTTGCACGTATATATACTGTCCTTATTCCGTTACGTTCTTTGTATTTTGAAACCATAATTTTCAAACATCGAGCTCTCTCTCTCCATTTTTTACGTGGAATATACAGCCGATTCATGTCTGAGCGGCAATGGCAAGAAAAAGAGAGGGACCTGCTATTGGAATTGACCTCGGCACAACGTATTTGTGCGTTGGCGTGTGGCAGCACGACCGTGTGGAAATCATCGCAAATGACCAAGGAAACAGAACGATGCCGTCCTATGTCGCTTTCACCGATTCCGAGAGGCTAATTGGTGATGCAGCTAAGAACCAGGTCGCCATGAACCCGGTGAATACTGTCTTTGGTAAGATCTGTTATGCTTTACACTAATGTACACAAATAAGAGTTCAATTTCGCTTCCATTTGTGTTGTTCAGCAATATCTGTGATTGAAAATGTTTAAATGTATTTACTTTTATGTTTTTTATATTGTAGATCTTAATTTAATGACTACTGTTAATGCTGCTTTAACTCTGTGATGATGACTGGTATAATATATGTGCTTAGTGCTCGATCTTGTAGTATAAATCTGCTTTGCCCTACTCCTTTTGATGACCTAAAATGATCAAAGATTGTGCTTGCATTTGCATGTGATTTACTCTGTATTTTGTGTTTCGTTCCATTGATCTAGATTAGAATAAGATTATTTACTATGTTGCTAGAGAAATTATGACTTCAACCGGTGGATGAAAGAATTATTCCATGAATCTCTCATAAACTTTTGTTGATTCATATTGGTTGCATAAGCACTAATATTTTGCAGAGGCCAAAATTGCGGGTCACATGGTTGTTTTTGTTACTTCTCAATGGTAAAAGAAATAATTCCTTGGTGAACGATAAACCTTAACGATGTCAATTCTTATAATGACATAGAAAGATTTATCTTGGCATTCTTTTTTTATGTCTAGTTTTGCATCATTAAAATGAAAACTGTGAAATTGATAATTGAAAGATGTGTTTGCCATATGTTGATTTTCTCTTGATTTTATATTCCTCATCATTAAAATGGATTTTTGGTTGATAAAAGAAATCATGTGTCAGCTTTATGTTGTTTTTCTTCTAGCTTTTAACCAAAGGTTTCAGTTCTGCAAATCCAGAGTGTTATGTTCTGCTGTGTATCAACTGTGAGCTAAATCTTATTGTAAATTTGCTAATGCGTTACTATTAAAATGATTGTGTTGGTTGTGCACGTTAGATTGGGTGAAATTGTTTTTGCTTCTATTAATTAATTGGGTCTTCATGTTTTTCTGCATATTGACAGATGCCAAGAGGTTGATAGGTAGGAGATTTAGTGATGCCTCTGTGCAGAGTGACATCAAATTGTGGCCCTTCAAAGTTATCCCCAGACCAGGTGATAAACCAATGATTGTAGTCAACTACAAAGGTGAAGAGAAGCAATTTGCAGCTGAGGAAATCTCTTCTATGGTTTTAATTAAGATGAAAGAAATTGCCGAGGCATTTCTTGGTTCAACTATAAAGAATGCTGTGGTCACTGTTCCAACGTACTTTAATGACTCCCAGCGTCAAGCAGCTAAGGATGCAGGTGTAATTTCTGGTCTGAATGTGATNCCAGTGTTGGTGAGAAGAATGTGCTTATTTTTGATCTTGGAGGTGGTACTTTTGATGTCTCTCTTCTTACCATTGAGGAGGGTATCTTTGAGGTGAAAGGCAACTGCTGGAGACACTCACCTTGGAGGTGAGGACTTCGATAGCAGAATGGTGAATCATTTTGTACAGGAATTCAAGAGAAAGAACAAGAAAGACATCACTGGTAACCCCAGGGCTCTCAGGAGATTGAGAACAGCTTGTGAAATAGCAAAGCGAACTCTCTCATCCACAGCCCAGACTACCATTGAGATAGACTCTCTATATGAGGGTATTGATTTTTACTCCACCATCACTCGTGCAAGGTTTGAGGAACTAAACATGGACTTGTTCAGAAAGTGCATGGAACCAGTAGAGAAGTGTCTACGTGATGCCAAGATGGACAAAAGTACTGTCCATGATGTTGTCCTTGTTGGTGGTTCCACTAGGATTCCTAAGGTCCAGCAATTGTTGCAGGACTTCTTCAATGGGAAGGAACTATGCAAGAGTATAAACCCCGATGAAGCTGTTGCTTATGGCGCTGCTGTCCAGGCTGCCATTTTGAGTGGTGAGGGTAACGAGAAAGTGCAAGATCTTTTGCTTTTGGATGTCACTCCTCTCTCTCTTGGTCTGGAAACTGGCGGTGGTGTCATAACTGTCTTGATTCCTAGGAACACAACCATCCCTACAAAGAAGGAACATGTATTCTCTACCTACCCAGACAACCAGCCTGGTGTCTTGATTCAGGTCTATGAAGGAGAGAGAACAAGGACAAGGGACAATAACCTTCTTGGTAAATTCGAGCTCTCTGGCATTCCTCCTGCTCCTAGGGGTGTTCCTCAGATTACCGTGTGCTTTGACATTGATGCCAATGGTATCTTAAATGTGTCTGCTGAGGACAAGACCACTGGCCAGAAGAACAAAATCACTATCACCAATGACAAGGGTAGACTTTCCAAGGAGGAGATTGAGAAGATGGTTCAGGAAGCAGAAAAATACAAGTCCGAGGATGAAGAACACAAAAAGAAGGTGGAGGCTAAGAATGCCTTGGAGAATTACTCGTACAACATGAGGAACACAGTAAAGGATGAGAAGATCTTCTCCAAGCTCCCAGCTGCTGACAAGAAGAAGATTGAGGATGCAATTGAGCAGGCCATCCAGTGGCTAGAAGGAAACCAGCTCGCGGAGGCTGATGAGTTTGAGGACAAGATGAAGGAGTTGGAGGGCATTTACAACCCTATCATTGCAAAGATGTACCAGGGTGCAGGTGGTGATATGGGTGGTGCTCCCATGGACGATGAGGGCCCTGCTCCTAGCGGTAGCAGTGGACCTGGTCCTAAGATTGAGGAGGTTGATTAAGCTCATGGTATATTCCCTTTGGATTATTTGTGTCATATTTTATTTTGTTTACTTGATAGCATCGGCAATTCTCTCTTATTCAATGCTTGCTTAAGATTTTATGCTATTTTCAAGCAACTATTATCATTTTTATATTATGTGGCAAGTAGCTCAATGGAAATTTTCGCCTCGATTTTATTCTTGAAATTTGCATGTGGTCTTGCACTGGGCTCCAGTTTGATTCTCTTTACTTTCAGTCCTTGTTTAGTTTTCATTATTTTCAAAATATATTTTTATTTCTTATTTTCAATCACACATTCTTTAACAAAATAATATTACACTCAAACTCAAATTTTGCAAAATGCAAAGTTGGAATGCAGCTGTGGCCACCAATATAAGTATATCCTCGGCCTTCACTAAAAATAAAACACGTTTAATATACTTAAATCGTTCGTTCCATAAAATATATTTGCTTTCTATTTTTATTTGTTTCAAATTGTAGGTCGATTTTCTTGTTAAAGTTATAGTTGATTTTTTAGTTTGCTAATACATCTCTATTTAATGTTCTTTGTTATTAACAAATATGAATTATTCTTATTTAAATCATTATTTATCTTTGTTTGACAAACGATATCATAATAAGTATTAAAATCTGGGTTTGGGTGAAATTAAGCTTCTGTTTGAGTCCCTGGGGGATATGTATTATTTAATAATGATTTTTTAAAGAATGCGTATTTCCAGAAAAATGAGTTTTGGAAAAAATGAGGCTCAAATCGGAGCTAAAAAAAATTAAAATTAAACTTAAATAAGTAAAATTTATTCGAATAAAAAATATATTTTCAAACATGTTTGAAATGAAAGTAACTTTTACTTATTTTTGAATTTAGTGGAAGTGTGAATCATGTTCTTAGATATCTTGTGTATCTAAGCATCTTCGAATATGAAGTAAGCTTGACAAACAATGAATTGAATTCTTATTTATAAACTTCTATCGATACGAGTATTTTATTTTATACAGCATGTCTTAAAGATTTTTAGATAATTTATGTACGTATACTTCGTCACAAGATTTCAGTTACTTAAATATATCAATTTCAATTATTGACTAATATCAAATCAATTACACGAAAATGACTAGAAATATTCAATTAAAAGATAATATTTCGGTTTGTTAAGAACAAATATCTTATGAATCTCAATTATTGACTCATATTAAATTAATTATATGAAAATGATTAGAAGTATTCAATTAGAAAATTATTTTCATTAGATAAGAAAGCATTGCTTATGTCAAGCATGACATCTTGTTATTTAATTATTAAAATTGAAGAACATTCAGTGTACATTCGAATACTTATACAGAGACAATAGAAGAGAAAATGGAACGGGACAAAATGAGATTCAATGAAACTTGACATAATAGCACACAATTAGATCACCACTCAACCAATGTAATACATGGGATCGGGCACTTTGAAAGTTCGATTGCCCAAATTATCTCCAAGTATGTCACTCCATTGATCTCCCATATTTCCAAGAATTCTATGTCCAGAATTTACTAGCTCTGTTCTCTTCTTGGATTTGTACACTAAAGCAGAGGTCCCCTGATCAGCTTCTCCCCTGCACCCAAACAGCATTTTGTTCTCAAACCAATAATTACTTATTCTTGGTAAGTAAGTAAATTAGTTACTTCGGCAGTAAGATAAAATTTACAAAAAGAAAAAAAAAA